ACCTGTTTTCCCCTAGGGAAACCATGTGACAGTGTTGAACCTTGTGGCATAATTTTAAAACCAGCAAACTAAAATCTGTTGGGTGAGAAGCAAAGTTTCCATCTGTGCATGTGGAAGAGGGGATCATTAGCTCCAACGCCCATTGCTGCCAGAGAGCAGCATCACCTTAGCAATGCTCCCGTGCTGTGAGCACTCACCACAGAAATGTCAAATGCTGAGTATCTGTCTATGGCTCCCTTGGAGTCCCCCACCTCTCTGATGTACTACCTCAGAACAAAGAAAAACTGAGCTAGTTTACGAAACATAAGATACCACCAATGAGTTTTTTCTTAGGAGGTTGCATTAGTATCTATATTATTTGCTGAATAATAATAGGTTACAAATGTATTTGTAATTTAAAAATGATGCATCTGCCTGCTAGGACATCCATTTTTTTCCCTCATATGTAAACTATATATTTAACATTTGGTACAATGGTACAGTGAACTGAGCACCGAAGCTTTTTAATGTGATCATTTTTCATGGTTGGCGTGTGAGAAGAGAGCCTGGGAAATACGAGCCTGGGAGTTCAGAGGTCACTTGAAAGTGAGGTAATCAGACAGACATTAAACTGGCATGCCTTAACTTTCTCTATCAATCACTCTTCATTTCGATGTCTCTCTCTCTCTCTCTCTCTCTCTCTCTCTCTCTCTCTCTCTCTCTCGGGGTTCTCATGACCTGAGAACTTTTCTGTATCTCTCTTTGAGGGGAAACTCATCACCTGAGGACAGGAGAAAGGTTTATAGTTAGGAAGCCAAAATTTCTTGGTGTGAGTCTGATTGAGGAAGGAGTAGGAACTGGCTTAACGCTTTCCTGTTGCATGGGACCCAGGGCTAAGGAACAGGATTCAACTTCTGTGGTTTTCCTCTAGTACAAAGCAATTATAGAGAATATGAAATGTTTAGTAAGTGAGATTGACAGAAAAATAAGTAAATAAATACAAAAGATCTGAGACAGCCATTGGCAGAGGGAGACAAGAACAGACCAAGGTGATCCTGGAGGACATCCAGTGCCAGCTATCCTAGGTCCCCTCTAGCCACTGACCCAGGAGCTGCCATGGCAGGGTGCCAGGCTCCACATAGTCTGAGGCATCCACTGGACTGATGATCAGTGTGAGTGCCATAGGAACTCCAGGGGCTGCAACCCCCAGGAACCTGAAGTCCTGCTTCAGATGAGATGCAGGATGTCAGCTCTAGAGCAGCAAATGTCACCAAACTGCAGCCAGGAAGCATCCACATGAACAAAGGTGAAAGACCTGGAGGGCTGCTTTCCCAAAGGCTCACCTAGTCATATTTTCACTAGCATATGTAGAGCATCTCTGCAGAGTTTAGCGCCATTTTAGCAAGAATAAGAAAGAAAAGAGGTGCCAGCTGTAAAACTACCACCTTGAAAAAAGCAACTTTAAAAAACAGCCATTTAAATTATTAGCTCAACTGTCTCCTTTCTCCCAGTTTGAAAACTAGTTCGAATGGTTTCTGGAATGACATTTAGATTAGTTAAAACCAAATTAACAAATCACATGTACGGGAACTGGGCCTGAGGCCACAGTACTAAGAAAACAATACTACAAAATCTAAGTTGTAGACTTAACTTTGTGCTTGCTACCTTTCCATGACTTTGAGAAATAGTGAAAACGTAAACGTGCCGCTATCCTTAGTCATTGTGAGCCGATGGATGTGTATAACTATATGAAGCTGGGATTACAGGACACTTGTCACTTCCACCCACTGTCCCAGCAGGATCACTGCTCTCAGATGCTTGAGGAATACTGCTTTCATTCATTTTACTGTGAAAATAAAGCTGCTATAAATCACACACCTGCTCTAAAAAGAAACTACCCCCACCAAGTCGTGATGCCGCCTCCAGCGTGGAAATGGCCAAAACTGAGCAAGGCATAAAATGTGTCCTTCTCAAAACCTGTTGGTTTTTTTTTTCTATTTCTTTTCTCCACTACCCTTTCAACACTTTAAGGGATGGTTCTCCCTCCCATTGTTTTATCTCTAATTTAAAGCAGCAGTTACTTAGCTCTACAGCAAAATCTGAGGTCATAAATGAGGGCAGGCAGTAATTTAATCTGTGAAAAACAGAGGCATTGTCTGGTTAGTGCAGTGACAGCAAAGTATAACCTAGGTCATCGCTTCCTGTTCAGATTCATTCAAGAGTCTTTATTGCTTCCTTCTTTTGTTCCTCCTCCTCCTCAGCCTCCTCTTTACCCTCCTTCCTTCCTTGTCTAACACAAAGACACACAGACACACACACATACAGACACACACACACAGACACACACATAGACACACAGACACACACACACAGACACACAGACACACACACACAGACACACAGACACACACACACACATACAGAGACACACACACAGACACACACACACAGAGACACACACACACAGACACACACACACACAGAGACATAGACACACAGACACACAGACACACAGACACACACACACACACACACACACACACACACACACACACACGGCATGCACCTCAGGATTCCCATTTAAAAGAAAACAATTGAAAGGATAAAGCAATCTTGTAGAATTTAAAAGTTGATTTGAGATTTTCCTAAAAGCTTAGTGTGTCAAACACACCTATGCATTCAAACATTAAGATTCAAACGGAAGCCAAACAACTTGCAACAGCATAATATATCTGTTTATTCACTTACGATTACAGGTTAAGAGCACTACATTTTTATCCTGTTGAGATGGAGATGACAATGATGGAGATTTCAGTTTATAAAGTTCACTCTTCTTAAGGATTAAAAAATTCTATTTAACAGAAAAGAATATATATATATATATATATATATATATATATTATTCTTAGGAAAAGATCTAAACTTGCTCACATATGATCAAAAGCATATTTGTTCATTTATTTAAACAAAACACAAGAGACAGTTTAACTCTTGGTTACTGCTTTTAGGAGAGCATGGCATTCTTGAAGCAAATGTACACAAATCATCTTTTTCAATAGTGCATTCAACCATTGTATGTCAGGTCAGTGTGAACCTGAGAACCCCAGGTTCATTGTTCCAGGGCCACTGATATACACTGGCTTCCTTAAACAACCAAGCAAGATATCCTTTCAGTGGCCTCTATGTACAAACCAGCATACCCAAGAATACAGCAAATGCAAAGGAGTGAAGAAATGGGCCCTTGCCCTGCTTAGGTTTCCACTGTAGTCAGTAACTGCAGACATAATAATTTCACTTCCATTTCTCAACAGAAGTGACCACTTTCACTGGGTATATGTAAGAGTCACCTCTGCTGGGTTAGAAAAAGGCAGCAATATGTTCAGCAGTGAGTCTCTGACATATCTCAGATCTGGGTGTGAGTGCTACAGCTCAGGTCCCACTTGTCACTTTGTGGGTGTCCTTATAATTGTTCCATGGACTAACGACAGTTTGTCAAGATTGACAAATCTATCTTCGAATACATGTGTGTAAACACATATGATAGATACGTGACTTGTGCGTAGCAGCACATATATATACACACACATCACAGACCGTGTGATTTGTTCCCCTATGTTTCCTGGGATGCCAGGGATTCAGGCCTTTCTGCACTGAGAAAAGTTAACCCAAATTGTCATTTATTTATTTTAACGAGACAAAAACTACAGTAAAAATATGTTTTAAAATCTCCAAACTTCACTGGACACAAGTGAAGGAAACAAAAGCAGGAAGGATTGAGAAAAGGCAAGAGGAGCACAAGAGAGAGAGATACTTCTGAGGGGGTCTTGGGATGAGGAGAGAACTTTCTCCACCCCTGCTCCCTTCCCCGCTGCCACGCCCCCAGGATTCCCAAGAACAGCCCTGTTAGGCAAATACAGAAAAAGAAAAGTGGAACCACACTTTTTTTTCAACACCACACATAAATAAATAAATATGTTATACAAGAGATAACCTATTAGGCACCGCTTGAAGGCAGAAAACTTCGGGGACCAGACAAGCTAAGCAGCCCATCCAGCTTTGGTGGCAAAGGCTCCGCAGTTAATCTAGGAAGCAGGAGCTGGACTAGGAACTTAAACTGGAACAGGCAACCCAAACTTTTGTTACTTTAGGAGGACTCCGAGAGGAACTGCTTTGCATTTCAAGTCCACCCACCAGGGTGCCTAAGTTATTCACCAGCCGGGAGCTCCTCTAGCTGAGACTTTGGAGCCTAGTACTCCGGTCCTGGGCTCTGTGGGAGGGTGGCTTCTATGGTACCCACACCCACAACCCAGGAATCTTACAAACTTGCCCTTCAGCTTCTCTTAGCTCCTTTGTTGCTCAAGGAGGATGTGGGTGGGACTATACCAAGTCTGGCAATTTGGACACAGGACCTTTTCTTGAGCACCTAGCTCTGCTGTGGATGGAGTGGAACAGAGGAAGGGCCCAGGGGAAGATGTGCCTTCTCTGAGAGTAGAAAAGACCGGTTGGCTGGTTATCCTCGAGCTGGGCTTCCTTTACAGTAAGGCTGTGCGAAAGGAGAGCAGTGATTGGGGGCAGTCTGGTAGCCACTCTGAAAAGAGTCTGCCCCGGCTGACCTGCGCAGCGAAAGGGTTCAGCGCAATGTGGGGACTCAGCCCAAAGGAAACACGTGATGGTAACCCTGGCTCAGCTTAAAGAAGCAGACGTATCAGCTTGAGAGGGTAAGGGTCAAACTGAGTTGGGGACGTTAAGTTTGCGGTTTGTACTAGCAGAACTGGGAGGGAGGGGGGAGGTTACCGGGTTTGGAGAACTGAGTTGTTCAGAATACCAGACGGCCCAAAAGCATTCGCAGTCGATCCGCAAATCTCTCCCTTTTACTTTAGTCACATAGTTTTCCTAGGTCCAGCTAACCAGGCGCACTGCATCGCTGATATGCACTATTACCACAGCGCCCAGTGTCCCGTTATCATTCCCTCCCACCTGCTTCCCTGTTCTACCTTTCTGACCACTCTCCCCCTCCCGGCAGTGCCCGGCCTCAAAGCGTGCTGATCCTGGAAGCGCAGGTGCCATTACGGAAAACGCCTCCAGACTCCAGGTTCTCGGGCTGGAAGTCCTCCACGCTATAGGCTCGACTCTTCAGGGCAGTGGCGTAGTAGTCGACTGGCTCCTCCGCAGCGTTATCCATCCAGCTGAGGCACAGGATGCGCTGGAAAGAGCGCTTGAAGTTGTCCGACAGGAAGCCATAGAGGATGGGGTTGGCACAGCTGTTGGCATAGCCGAGGATGACAGACAACTGGCTCACGGTGGCGTCGTCTTGCTCGGCGAACACGTTGACCAGCTGTACCACGTAGAAAGGCATCCAGCAGATGACAAAAACCATCACCACCATCATCACCATTAGAGTGATCTTGCGCTCTGAACGCTTGCGCTGCTGCCAGCCGGCCTTGAGGGCCACCATGCGCATCTTGGCAATGATGAGCACGTAACACAGGCAGATGGCCCCGACAGGCAGCAGGAAGCCCATGAGAAATGTGTATAAGACGAAGCCCACCAACCAGCGCTGGGCGGGCTCGGGCATGAGCATGTTGCAGGCCACTGTGCCATCGCTGTTGGCTGCGGTGCGTGAGAAGACCACGATGGGCAAGATAACCAGGAGCGACAGCACCCACACGCCCAGGTTCACCACTTTGGCCACAGTGGGCCGACGGTAGCGCGCTGCCTTGATTGGGTGCACCACAGCCACATAGCGGTCCACACTAAGCACAGTCAGACAGTAGATGCTGGTGAACATGTTGACCGCATCCACGCTGAGTACCAGGCGGCAAAGTAGCGCGCCGAAGGGCCAGTGGCGCAACAGCGTGGAAGTGACCAGAAAGGGCACGCTGAGCATGAGCAGCTCATCAGCAATGGCCAGGTTTAGAATGTAGATGTTGGTTGCGGTCTTCATCTTGGCGTAGCGCAGGATCACATAGATGACCATGGAGTTCCCACACAGTCCCACCAAGCATACCACGGAGTAGATGAAAGAGATGAGAATGGCGCTACCCTGGCCCTCGCTTAAGGTCCCGTTCTGGGATGCGTTTCGTCCAGGCTCTTCCATGCCGTCCGCAGCGCCGGACCCCGGGGCCCTGCTGCAGGCTCCTTCCCCGCAGCTGCCTGGGCTGGGGCTTGGAGAAGAGGGGGGAGAGGAGGCGGTGCCATTGGGGAACATCCCAGCTGAAGTGGGCCGGTGCCGGCTGGGGCGCTCACCTTGCGCCCTTGCTGCCTGCGCCCTCCCTAGGCTCAGGGCTCCAAGCTCACTGCTCACCGCCGCCTGGCGCCTCCTGGCAGAGCGCAGCAGCTGTGGCGAGCGCGGCTCCTACTGAGGCCGCCCAGGAGCATCGCCCAGCGGCTGCTTGCTTGAGCACTGTCTCTTGCAGCTCTGGGGGGTCCTGGGAACACTGGAGCGTGGAGAGCAGAGGAGAGGCCAAGAGGCTATAGCCCAGCGCGGCACATCCATTAAGTGGAAAGGCTCTGGACTGCTGAATGATTAATAAGCAGCACCATCGCGTCAGCAGCTACGAAAAAGCGGGGGGGGGGGCATATAGGTGGTTTATTCCCCCACCGTCACCGCTCCCCCCACATTTTTAGTCCCCTCTGAGCTCAACTCAAAGATTGCTTCAGATTTCCCTCACAGAATCTTTAGTCATTCCTAGGACAGACCTGAGGAGTTTCTCTACCTTTCTAAAGGGTTAAGAATGCAGATTCTGTCCCATTCCACCCGACTCCTACTCTAAGTAAAGACTGAAGCAAACCCCAGACATACATGTCTGGAGTTCCTCTTCATTTCTTTCTGCTGCTGCTCTCTTCTGGTGATGGGGGCCACTCCACCTGTCCCTAGCCACTCTCCAGGACGGGACCCTAAACACCTACCTTGCTTCTTCTTTCCTGCTTGCCAGTTCTTCAGCCTTGCATGCACCTGGAGATTTCAGGCTTCCGATCCTCAAGTCTCCAGATGGCCCTTGCAAAGTGCTTATGAGGTCTGGCGGCGCTCTGACGTTCTTTGCGAGGTCCAACTCCCTTTGGGGCTGGCCACTGCACAAGTGCCCACGCAAACACCGAGCAGTGGAAACCAGACTTAAGCCAATAGCATTGTGAGCACGAAGGACCACAGTGGTGTGTTAAGGGATGCTGAGTTACAACATCCGTCGCCCTCCACTCTGCAGCAGGGAGTGTTCAGGGGAACTGAGTGAACCATTGCGATTCTCTAACAAAGCTTGCAGTTCCCTGAGCCCCCTCCACCTTCCCTAGGAAGATCAAGAGCCGAAATCAGGATGCGGGGCAGAGGGCTCAGGAGGAGGCTGGCACTCCCTCCGGAACCTGCCAGGCGCGGTATTGGAAATCCATGTAGGTGTTCACCAGGGAAAGATTAGGCTGCGAGGCTTGGAACAGCTGCGCCCGCGCGTCCGGGCTGTACTTTGTACCCTGGAGAGTTGGCGGGGTGGGGGATGGAGGTGGAGAGCTCCAAAGCCTGAACAAGCCAGCGTGCCAGCTCTTAATCCACGCGTGGCTGGCTGAGCAACTGATGGACTGTCATCAAGTCCGGGATCAGTGGCACGACATTCAAGCTTTCCCCCATGGAATACTAAGGGATACTAAAGCCTTGAGGAATGACCCCTCTGTGTTCCAAGTGCTGAAACCATTAAGATATGATTGTTAAGATCCTGGGCCCAAAGCTCATAAACCTGCAGTTCCCATCCCAAGTCCAGAGCTGCAGGCTTTTACTTGAGAAAGAATGGGTGATGATTTTTAAGGGTCGCTAGGAGTTCCCAGGACTCTGACTCTAGGGTCTCTTTGGCTTTAGAGCCTCTCTTGGTCAAAAGATTCAACCACCTATTCTTTTCATGAATGCTATTTCCTTCCACTAAATCCCTTCAAGTCTTTGCCTGACGCACGCACGCCAAGCCCTGGAAGACTGGCCTGCTGCAGTCCAGTGTTCACTTGAGCCCTGCTGCTTCCAATTGCTTGTCTTCCTCAGTCTCCCTCTCACATCTCCACCAAGAGGGTCAAATTTGGAACTAAAATTACTGAAGCTGTTCCTACCAGACAGTCTAGAATGCGCAAAACTGGACACCGCATTAAAAGCAAAACATTTGTACTTAATGGCTTGTTGTTTGTTCTCAGAAATTGCCTACATATGGGTGCTTCCGTCTCCCAAACTACGTTCTGCTTGGAGAGAAAGAATCATGTGTACTGTTCATGACGGCAGAGACAGTCAGATTAAAATCAATGACCACAGGCTCCGTAGGACTGTGTGCAACAGACGCTGAATGAGAAAAAAAAAGATGGTAGAGTGGAATTCCAGATTTGATAGGACTAGGGGTGTTTAATGCATTGCTTTCCCTAAAACAAACCACCTTACCTGATGTGGAATGTGAATTGGAGAGTAGCTATATATCTACAAATAATAAATAAATAAATAAATTAATTAATTAATTAAATAAATAAATAAATAAAACAGCATACGTAGAGGGAGCAGAGAATGTACACTGGGTTTAAATAACAAAACTGAGACTTTTTTTCCGAGAGGAGTATTTTCCTTGCCAACCCTGGATGCGGTTTCTGTGCCTTTGCCAACCACTGACTTAAGGCACCTGGCTGTATTTCTGGGATGGTTTTTCAAAGGTCACTATTTAGAAGCATTGGCTTTGATCATGGTGGCTGGGATGCGGGGAGGGAAATGGTGGAAGTTTATGAAAGGCAGCTTTGTTGTCAGAATTTCATTAAATTCACTCTGCAACTCATCTTAGAAGAAAAAAATTTCAACTAAGTTATGTCTTTACATACAAATGAAGAAAAGCAGACAAGTATGTCTGTTCCTGATTGTGAAGAGGCTCTGATGATGGACTATTTATTCATGTAAGAGCTTGACAATAGGGCGGCTATAATTTTTTTAAAGAAAATAAATAAATGTAAACAAGCAGGTGGAAATATTTGATCACTCATACATGCTGGTAGACATAAAATCACGAGGTCTATTTTTACAAACAAGTTTGATGATCTTTCCCAAACATCACGGCTCAGTATCTCCACCTCTGTCCTTTACCTCTTCAAACTGAAGTCAAGTATCAGGGTGGGAGGAGATAAATAAAGAAAAGAAACAACCCAAATATCTACTAATTGACGAATGTGTGAACAAAATATGATATATTAATCAATAAAATATTACTCTGTAAAAGGAATGAAGTGTTGACAATATGTTATTGATGTACTTTGAAAACAATTTAAAAATAAAAGAAGCCAGACTCCAAAGGCAACAACGACTTGGTTCAGTTCATATGAATAGTCTAGAAAAGGCAGACATGTAGGGGCAGGAAGTAGATTGCAGACATGTAGGAACAGGAAGTAGATTGCAGACATGTAGGGGCAGGAAGTAGATTGCAGACATGTAGGGACAGGAAGTAGATTGATGATCCACAGTGGCTGAGAGATTAGCTGGGGGGAGGGACTACTTGGTGGGTATAAAGCTTCTTCTGGGGCAAGGGAAGCATTTTAACATTTAACAGTGGGGCTTTAGAAGTGCGTCTATGCCAAACCCACGTGAATGATACTCTTAGATGACAAAAAATTGAATTTTATGTGGATTTTACATCAATAAAAAGACTGAGCTGGATATAAGTCCTGTTGTTTTACGAAACCTTTTCAGTCACATGTGTCTTATCATGACATCTGTGATTCCTTCTACCTCCCAAGCAGATAAAACACACGGTACTTCTGGTTATACCATGTAATGCGAAGTTAGGACACTAGAGCCTTCCTGTCTGAAACTTTTAACCGAGGTGTCTGAGGCCTTGAAAAGCTAATGGTCCTCAAGTTCTCAGGTCTCTTGTGATCACTCCTCCTGTGTCTCTGTCACACTCTACACATCTATAAAGGGAATAAAAGGATGTTTTCTGGGAAGACAAGAAAGAAAAGGCCCAAGCAGGAAGTTGTAGATTCTCAAGCAGACTCTTTCCTCCATCATTATAACTTTCCCTTGGTGCCCACTTGATTATCCAACCTGTCACACTGTACTGTGGGGTTGTGTCTGTTTGTCTGTGACTCGGTATAGAGGCTTTAGGAGAAGAGAAACTTTCTTACTGAGCTCTTTATTTCCAGAACCTAGCACAATACTCAGGAAATTACCCAAACCTTCTTGTTCTTTATTTTAAAGCCTTAAACAAACAAACAAACAAACAAACTTGTTCTTTATTTTAATAAGCTTTTTCTGTACTGGCCCATAAATTGTCAATAAGTAAGTGTAGCTATTTAGAAGAAGAATTTCAATGTTGGCATAATATCACCATCATTAACAATTCTGCATACATCTAAATCATTCTGAAAAAATTTTGAATTGGTGATGTCCTGTATCAACAATTACAATGCTGATGATTCTTCATTGATCATTCTTGGTCTTAAATTTCTTGGCAGAGAAAGGGATTCGAGAAAGGAATGGTACATGCTTTAGTAGCTAATGATGGTTATTTAATAGTATCATGCAGTGTGGAAGCCATTATACATGGAAGATCATTTCTTTTTAATTGCAGCCCGGAGTCTCGGTTGGTTTGGTGAAACAGTAATTATCAGAAGCTCAAACTCTGTGTCTGTCAAAAAAAATTGCTAATGTGGTGTTTTCAGTTGGAACCTATGTTCTAATCCATTTCAGGGGCCAATGTACTTCCTGGAACACACATTGTACGCTAATCCTCAGAGGAACGTTTGAAAACACCTGTCTGGGCAGATGGGCACAAACTGAGTGTCAGGGTGAGCACCACTCAGCAATATGGCCCAAAGCAAAGTATATGGCACTTGGGGACCATCTGCCATGAAGCAGTTAATGAGATGACAGTCTAATAAGAAAGTTACTAGGGTACAAAATGGCTAACAGGCTAAGCAGAAACCCTAGACTTCATCTCCCAGGGATGCCCAATCACTGCACAGCAGCCTGGGCAGCCTGTGGTGAAGTTCATCACCAGTCTTAGCAAACTCACTTGGCCTGCTGATTTTCCTATTGCCTCTTCTGTGAATCATTGTGGCAGAGTTTCTTTTGTGCTTTCAGAAAAGAGACATGTGGTGTAACAGTTCACATCCTTTCCTATGGATTTTTCTGTTGCTAGATAATGTTTCTAAAACTACAACTCAGTACATATAGGGAAGTATTCATTATTATTAATGGATAAATAATGGAATAGAAATAGCCACATGTTACCTGTATTACACTGAATAGTCCTTACCAACAATACATTTTCTTTTCCTGTAATAAAGCTTTTGCTATTCAGGGTTTTAAGATTGGGTAACATTAGTTTCAGACAATTGTATTCAAACCTTTCCTTTATTATTATTATTTGTCATTTTCCCCCACCCAGTAGCAACCACAAAAGAAAAATGCTTTCAACCTAGTAACAAAGCCACATTTTTATTTCCTTTGACACCTCAAATGATGTTTGGTTCTTCCCAGAGTGCTTACATTCTTACAGCCACTCGCCCATTCCTTAAGAGACTGTTCTTCCTGTTCTTCCGAGCAGGCCACAGG